ATACTAAATGCTCAATAAATAAGAGCTATTATTGCGGTAGCCCAAGTTTCCTTAGGTTTTTTTTTAGCTGTCAGATCCCAGGAACCACACCTGTGGTCAATAAAACCTCTTAAATATTTTTACAAAATACACAGCCAAGCAAGCTCTTCCCTGTTGCCACCTTGTGCACTTAATCGTTTCTAACCTAAATATAAAACTTGACATGGGCCTTTGATAACCTATATCTATTTTATTTCCATCAGGCGCTACAGGCTGTTGAGAAGTTTTACCTCTTGACAGTAATAATTAGCTCCCACTCAATGAGCAGGTATTCTGAGCTGAGAACTGTGCTGCTAGCTCTTTGTTCACTTTCTCATTGAAGCCTCACGACAATCCACTGAGGAAAGTACTCTCACCCCAGTTTTATACGAAGCTGAGGCTCGGAGGGGTTAAATCACCCATCCAAGGTCACGGAGCCAGTGAGTAGAAGATCTGGGAGTTGAATACACTTAGTCTCCAAGGATCACATTCTGAACCCCTGTGTTAAACTGGATGCGGGTAAAGGGAGGTCAAATGCTTTAGCTGGCTGGCTAAAGACTCATCAAGTTTGATGCTGCCAACTCAACTTGTGTGCGTATGAGGGAGGCCTGTGGCTCAAAACCCAAATGCTTGGCACAGAGCATGAGTGAGGACCATCTACAGGATGAATGAATTCATTACCCATTCAATTTCTATTTTTCCCATCACTATTTTGTTCCTACTCTATCCCCTATACCAGTCACCATAACTGACACAAAGGAAATGCCCAAGAAACACTTGTTAACTGAATGAATCAGAAAAGAGGAGAAAAGAAGGGAAAGCAAGAAGGACCAGGTAGGGAAGGCGGATGGGAAGAAGGAAGGGAGAGTGCTGGGGGTGGACAAAGGGGCAGGAATAAGAGAAAAAACAGAGGAAAGGGGCTAGGAGATGGTTGGGAGAGAGAGATCAGTCCCCAGGCTCAGATCCACTATTTGCCTCAGATGAACCTGTGAGAGTCCCAGAGTTTCCCAGTAACCCCCAGTAAATTATCACAGTCTCAGCCTTCATTTCAGGAGTTTCCTCTTCTCAACAAGTGCTAAGGCCCAGCCGCAAGCCCATCCTAACCCTGCCTGATTCCTTGCTCTGCACGCTGGGAAGTGGGCTCTGGGCTCCGTCCCATTCCCTGGGCCTCCCTCAGTTTCCTGGCCTGGCCTTAGAGCTCAGTGCTACCTTCCTGCCCCGCTTCCTCTTCCTGCCTCCAGTTCCCTGGAGATGAGGCCATCCAGGCATCTCGACCCCCAGCCAGGCCACATCCACATCCATCACACCTCTGCTGCCTTCTCCATGGCGGAATCTTTTTTTTTTTTTTTTATGGCAGTATCTTTTTTTTTTTTTTTCTTTTTGGCCGTGCCATGTGGGATCTTAGTTCCCTGACCAAGGATCGAACCTGCGCCCCCTGCATTGGGAGGGCAGAGTTTTAACCACTGGATCCCCAGGAAAGTCCCTCCATGGCAGAATCTTAAAGCACCAAGCCTGCTTCCTGCCGGGCACAACTTCCCCAGGAATTCCAGGGGAGGGGAGAAGTGACTGGCACCAACTGCTCCTGACACCTTTGCCTGGAAATGACAAGTGGGGACAGAGGCCAGAGTCTGCAGCAGGAGCGGGGGATGACTCAACTCAGAATGTGTCCCTAGGTACGGCTTAGAAGGGAGTCAGGCTATGCCACACTCTGATAACTTCAGTGGAACTTTTATAGTAAACATCTTACTTACTCTGTCCCCAGGGGAAGGAGTTTGCCCTCCAACACCCTGCCACAGGACTGGCTTCAACCACCCCATCGGCTCAGGTTTCCAACCCCTGGGCCAGACTTGTGTCCTCACAGCACCAGGAAGGGCTGAAGAGGTCACCATATTACCCACCGCTTCTCAGGAGCAGGTTCTGAGGGCCAGGCAGGTCTCTGCCATTGTACCTCCTCTAACCCCCTAAGGACCCAGCAAGGCGGGTATCGCTGACCCCACTTCACGATGCGGAAAAAGAGGCTCAGGGAAGCTAAGTGACTTGCCCGGGGTCACAGAGCGGGTAAGTGGCCACCACCAGGATCTCAGCCCGGAGTCTGACTCCGAAGCTGGTGCTCGTAACCGCTTGGCTCCGGCAAGTGGGAAGCCGGAGTCCAGCTCACTCGGCGCTGGGCAGTCGGGACCCTCGCACGTCGCCCTTTCCCTCCCGCGATGCGCGCGACGAGCTGAGGGTCCGGCCCCGGTCCTGCTTCCGGGCGCCGTCCCGAAGGACGCCCCCACCCCTTGGACTTCGGACTCATGCCTCGCACCCCTCCACGCTCGCCCTCTGCCCCGGCCCCGGGCCCTCACCATCGCCGCCGCCGCTGCCTCGCCGCTCCGGCTCCTCTGCCCGAGCGGCCGCAGTGCCAGGGATCTGGGAGGAAGCGGAGGGCGGGGCGGGGCCTGCCTGGCGGGGGCGGGGGGCGAGCCTTCTGGGAGCGGCGACCGAAACCAAGTCAAATCAGTCAAATCGGAAGCGGCCGGCGATGGCTCCCGGGGTCCCGGTTCGGCACCTCTCCCCGGGCCGCCGGCGCCCGGCTCGGGATGACTCCCCAGCCTGGTGAAGTGGGGCCTCCGCCCAATCAGCGTGGTGCCTGGTCTGCAACTCGGGACCCCAGTCTATGAAATTGTCCCAGTGGAGTGGGTTCTGGAACGGGCTCAGGGAATCCTCTCTGGAACCGCATCCCAGCTCAGGTAGACCGGGTTGATCTGGGGAGGAATCATTTATTCATTCAACAAGCACCTGTAGGAGCGCCATTGTCCTGCACTGTGCTAGGCGCAGGAAACGCAGTGAACAGCTGGACAGGGTCTTTGCCACCTTGGTGAGTGCAACTCACCCATAACCAGAAACCGACCACGCCAAAGTTTTGAAACTAAATAAAGTTTATTCACAATAAATATCATGAGTGCACTACCTGCCACTGGAGGGTACATTTTAAAACGGTCAATTGTATGTTTTGCGAATTTCACCTCAATTAAAAGAGAAAACAGGGCTTCCCTGGTGGCGCAGTGGTTGAGAGTCCGCCTGCCGATGCAGGGGACACGGGTTCGTGCCCCGGTCCGGGAAGATCCCACGTGCCGCGGAGCGGCTGGGCCCGTGAGCCATGGCCGCTGAGCCTGCGCGTCCGGAGCCTGTGCTCCGCAACGGGAGAGGCCACAGCAGTGAGAGGCCCGCGTACCTCCCCCCAAAAAGAGAAAACAGACCCCCGTGGAGAAGGTGCTAGCTCTAGCTTTTTCTTTCTTTCCCCTTCACCACGTGGGCAAGTGCAGCCCTGTCCTGATATGACCCCCTTCCTCAGCTGGAGGATGAGGGAGGCTGGTGTGTCTAACCTGTCCAGAGCCTTCCTGAGCTGAGTCTATCCATCCTCAGCCTGCCCTTTCACTGCTGCAGAGAAGCCGCCAGCCACCTGTTCTCTATCCCACCACATACCATCCCAACATCTCAAAGGTGGCCCCTCTTGAGGAAGGGGGTTGGGGGCTTCCCTCTCCCACGTTGAGCCCCATGTGAGCACAGACCCCACCCCCAGACTGGACAGACTAGGTCCCAATCACCCCAGTTGCTTGGACCTCGAGTCCAGGAGTAGACTGAGAAGAGAGAGGATGGACAGGGTCCTGACAAAGTCTGCCCCCAGGGTCTCTTCTGTGCTTTCCTCCCTTCCTAGTTTTCGGGGCATGATTCTATTTTTTTTTTTTTTTGGCTGCACTGCGCGGCATGTTGGATCCTAATTCCCCAACCAGGGATCAAACCCACGCCCCCTGCATTGGAAGTGTGGAGTCTTAACCACTGGACCGCCAGGGAAGTCCCCGGAGCATGATTCTAGAACCTGACTTGCCAGTACTAGTCCCCAGTCCTGTTTCCCAACCCCGCCCCTTCCAGATTCCCTCCCCAAATCAGGTTCTTTTCAATTCTGGAAAGCCTATGGGGGAAATAGGGACAGAGATGACATAAACCCTTCCCCCAAACCAAGGCGCACTGGGCACTGGAAAGAGTGACAATGATGGTGGAACCTGGTGGAGAGGAGGGAGGCCCAAAGACAGAGAGGTCCATTGTCCATGGAGGGGAAGGAAGGCCATAGGCCCTGTCCTGTGACACTGACTGTGCCCAGCCACGAGACACGGGTGAGAGATGCTCACCCCCTCAGGACAGCTGAGACCCAGAGGCCCTGCTAAGTTCCAGAAGGACAGGGGCAGACAAAAGACAAATAGAACTCGCAGAACCACAAGAGAAGGAAAAGCAGTTCAGTTCCTCTAACCTCCTCACTCTAAGACTACAACAGGGCCACCAAAGAGAAATGGCAATGATGGGAGGGGTGGGAGGCCCTTAACCAGATTCCTAAATGCTCTGCCCAGGTAGCCTTCATGTCTCGGCTAACACTTCCAGCAGAAAACTAATAAAGGAAATGGCAAGTCCCAGAGGGGACACTTAAAAGTCTTACATACTACCCTAAAATGCTGGGAAGGTTTTGAATTTTCCATACGCCAAGACCTCCAGAAAATTCCTGTTCTTGAGACCAGTGACAATGATGGAACAAGGGGAGATAAAGAAAGACAGAGAGGGCTTCCCTGGTGGCGCAGTGGTTGAGAGTCCGCCTGCCAATGCAGGGGACACGGGTTCGTGCCTCGATCTGGGAAGATCCCACATGCCGCGGAGTGGCTGGGCCTGTGAGCCATGGCCGCTGAGCCTGCACGTCCGGAGCCTGTGCTCCACAACGGGAGAGGCCACAGCAGTGAGAGGCCCGCGTAACGCAAAAAAAAAAAAAAAAAAAAAAAAAATCTAAAAAAAAGAAAGACAGAGAGTTTCTATCTTTCTTCTCCAAACATATGCTCTCCACTCCTCCAACAGCTTGGGCCTCCAATGGGAGGATCTCTGCCAGAGGGCATCCTTAGGGAGAAAAGAAATGGAAGGGCCAAAGGCAAAAAGGAAAGGGAGAAAGTACCTCACATGCATAGGCATACTGAAAGGTCTTTATTGCCCACTGGCCACCCTCAGTTCCATCAGTTTCGCAGCCATGTGCTGGCCCTTCTGGGTCTCTCCAACCAACTCTGAGGACCCCTGAAACACAGCCACAGTCCAGCTCTCTCCTTCTGGGGACCAAGGTGCTCCCTGGGTCAGACAGTGTGGTAGAGGGGCCCCAGAATGAGGGGCGGGAGGATGGAGCATCATTCCCTGTGGAGAAGGACAGGAGAGAGGGCCCCTCTTGGCACCCACTATGGAAGGCTGCCCCCCAAGAAGAGGGCAGGGTGGGAGGGGTTCCCTAAGTTACTTAAGGGATGGCACCCGTGGCAAAGAGCACGATGAAGAGGACGATGATAAAAACAATCACGCAGATGAGGACGATCATCTTCACATTCTTCCACCAGAACTTCCGAGCCACCTTCTGCGATGTGGTCTTGAAGTGCTCGGACTGTTGGGAATAAGGCAGAATCACCCAGTGCCTCCCGCCGCTGGGATGAGCATACCGAGACCCACACGCCATACATCTAAACATTTAAGTGCTACGTTGAGGCAACAGACTGATATATAAAACAGTTAGTTCTGTCCTCCTACCTTGACAAATGTACCTTCACAACCATCTGGTGAACCAATTCAAATTTAGAATCCTTGGGCTCCCTCTGGTCCCCTGCCTGCCCCCTTCTCTTCTTACCCCCGCACTGCCATGCACACTGAGGGGCCTCTGATGCATGCTCACACCCAGGGTTGTGACACTGGCAGCACAACCCACCCTTGGGAGGGCAGACACTGGGGCTGAGGGGTGCAGGCTCCAGGTGGACACATCTCCCTGGTTCCATAACTTCTGGCCACATGAGGACCGCTGAAGCTGGAGAAGGGGCCAGGGCAGTCCAGGGGTTGGAACTGAGGGAAAATGCTCTTCCTCTCCCAACTTGAATTGCAGAAATTGTTTCCCTGGGCCATGCTTCCCAGCCTGGGCTGTGGAAAGAAACACTAAGTCCCAGGGAGTCAAATGAGCTATGCTCAAGATTACACACAGGACTCAGAAAGCCATGGCCAGTCTCTCTCCGTGGACACGGAATCTTAAGTCTCCAGCCCTCAGTTGAACTTTAGAGTTACTCCCTCCCTGAGCAGCTGGCTTCAGCCTCTGGCTGGAGGGAGAGAAGAATGAGATCTAGCAAGATGTGTGGGAGATATTATTCCAGCCTTCAGCCAGCAGAGGATCCTGGGATCAAAGGCTTTTACTCCTCTTCCCAGCTTCTTTTTAAAGCTGGCTCAGCAAAACTCTAACAGTTTTCCACCCCCTGCCTAATAACTCCTGGGGAAGGCCAAAGGCCCTAAAAGGATTTTCTGGAGCCAATATTTTTGTCCTGGGGAGGCCAGGTCCAAATGATTGTCAAGGGCAGCCTTCAAAGTGAAAGTCGATTTCATAGGAGAGAAGCCTAAGACAGCACAGGCTGACTGAGCCATCCATCAGTCTCACAAAATGTCTCCATGGGTCCACCCCCGCATCCCCAGCCCCAGTCCTTGAACCCATTCCCTGGACCCCAGTACCAATCAGTGGAGTAGAGCAGGATCAGAAGTGGGGATTCAGCTCACATCAATTCCCAACACAGGTAAAAAGGCAGACTTCCCTCCTGATCATTCTGCCACCAAGACCACCAAGCCTCAAGCCCCCAATAATCCTCCTCCCCCCTCTTCCCCTGGCCCCCACTGGGCTCCTGGCCCCCATCATCTCACTGTGGCTTCCAGATCCTCTGTCTTGTTACGGAGATGATCCAAGTTTTCTCCCCGGGCCAGGATCCGCTCCACATTCTGGGTCATAATATTCTTGACTCCCTCCACTTCGCTCTGCAGGTTTCGCACACGGTCATCTCCTCCACCACCGCTGGCCTCCTCCTGGGCAGCCACACAGGGGTTAATTAGGCCGCGTGCCGGAGGGACTGAGACTCAGCCTCAGAGGCCAGAGGAGACGGAGGCCTAAGGTGGACTTAGCTTTTTGTAATGCTTGAACTGTTTGCAGAGAGAATGTTTTCCTTGTGGTACTTGTGTAATCAAAAACAAATGCACTTTTAAGCCCCAGATGGTGAGAGCCATGCTAGGAGACAGACTGGATCCAACTTCTTTGTGGGTTTTCAGGGCACGTGAGACGACAAGAAGCACACCCCCAAAGCCCTCTCCACTGCTTCCTTGTTCCTCGGAGAGGGTCAGAGGAGACCGCTGAGCCAGCACCTCACAAGGCACAGCCCCACCATTACCTGTGAATTCCCAGATCCCACCGGTCCTCATTAAAAATGCCTGGGCCCCTCCCCCCACAGACCACCCTCTCCTAGCCTAACCCGCCCTCTCTTCAAGACAGCAGCTGGAGAGCTGCTCCGGCCTCCTGGGCAGCCTGAGCCACGGCAACCAGGCTCCAAGTCCCTCACAAGGCCCCGCGAGAGACAGCCGTTGGGCCACAAACTTCTGCTTTCCCCACCACTAAGGTCCTCGCGTAGGCACCATGCCATTGCCTACTTAAGCAAGTATGAAACATACAGACAGCAGCCTGGGTGTTGGGGGAAATGGAGGGCAAGTCCTCCCTGGCTGATGCCTCATCCTCAGGCTTTCTGATAAGGTTTTTGAACAGGGAGGGAAAAACACTACTAAGCTCCTCCCTCCCTGACCCACTAGACTTCCAGACACAAGCCAGGGGCGTGGGTCCAAACTAGATTATTACAGAGAACCAACTTCTGTCTTTTTTTTTTTTTTTTTACAAACCATCAGCTCTCTTCCTCATGTTTATGGAGAGGGGGCAGTTTCCTTGGACTCGACAGAGAGACAAATTCTTTGGGTTTCTGTACAGGGATAAAGTGAGGGGCAGAGCGGGATTCCTGCCGCTGGGCTGGAATCTGCGCTGGGAACAGCAGAGGCACTGCCCAGGAATGTCACAACACCCGAAGGCCAAAGGCCGGAGGGCTGGAGGAGGAGATGAATTAGGAGCTCACACTCCCACCGAAGCTCCACTCCAGGCCAGCTCAGGGCTCAGGGGAGGGAGGGGGCAGAGAAGAGCAGGAACACCCGCCCAGGCAGCTCAGACCTATTTGCAGCCCAGCTGTCAAAGAAGAGAGGTCACAGTCAGCGCTGGCCCAGCCCTCAGATTTTGCCACCAGCTTTCCTTTGCTGCTCCCCAGCCCCCAGCCCCCTCTGGCTGCTCGTGAAATCAGCCCCTTCTTAGTTTCCCGCCCTCTCACCATGTTTCCGAGCGGCTCGGGCCTGTCGGCAGCAGGACTCTCGCCTAGTTTGTTTCCTCTCGGGCAGCCGTCGGTTCACTTCCTGCTTGTCCAACTTTCAGCCTGCCCCCGCCCACCTCGCCTCCAGAGCCTCTCCGGCCACACCTCGCTCAGGTTCCCCAGGTAGGCGGGCACTCTCCACTGCCCTCCCAAGTCTCCTGGGAAACCAGGGCTTAGGCTTAAAGCGACAGGGCTCCCCCGCACCACATTTCTAACTTGTCAGGAACAAGTAAAGAAAGATCAAGCAGTCCTCCTAGGTTTCCTGATATAGAAAGGGCAGCCGTCTCCTTTTTTAATTTTTATTATTTTTTGGCTGCACCACGCGGCATGCCGGGGATCTTAGTTCCCTGACCAGAGATGGAACCCGTGGCCCCTGCAGTGGAAGAGCGGAGACTTAACCACTGGACCGCCAGGGAAGTCCCCCATCTCCGTTTTTTATGTGCTGAGTATCTCACCCCCAATTCTTAGAGACTGAAATCAACCCTAAGCACCCTGCCAGACCTTGTTCGCATGGAAACAGAACACAGATATGAACATTTCTTGCTGGACAACCCTTGTTCCCATGTCCGTCTTATTGCAGAAAGCATTGAAACCCCCAGAGTCTGGAACGCTGTAATCCTGGGCTCTGGTGTAGGAAAGCTGCACACTGAGTGACCCTTTTCACCTGCCTGGGTTTTGCAAGTGCTGATGCTTAACCTCATAGGGTGGTGGTGAGGAGTAAAAGGATAGCACATGCCATGTGCCTAGTACAGTGCCTGGAACAAAGGGCTGCCCACTGCTCAAATCAGGGAATGATGGCTCACCAACCCTCCTTTCCTTCCAGAGTTCAACAATCCTGTACGTCCCTTCCGAGGCCACCACTTCGGTTGGTGAGCCCCATCAGAAAGGGTCATGCGACTGCCCTATGGACAAGAGAGAGGGCCCAGGGCAAAGGATTTTTCCACCAACCTGGCTCCAGGCCAGAGAAAATCCACTTTTCCTGGACAGTGTTTATGGAGATAAAAGAACAATAACAGGGACCTGCAGAAAGGAACAAACATTCCTGTTCCATCCCAGAAGAAGTAACAGTTCCAAGAGGGAAATGTCAGCTTCTCTGACAAATGCTTTTTTAAAGAGTCTAATAAATTTTGGACCTCTGTAGCATTTGGAGACCCTTTATTCTCATTTATAATGAAATCTTACTCCCAATTAGATAAGATTATTATCTTTTTCAGACCTGAATTTTGGGGGACAGGATCAGCCTGCTTTCACAGAGAACGTGGCTGCCCCACTCCTCACCATCCTTAGAAAGGCGACAATGAAGCCAAGCGGAGGTGGCTCAGAACCCTTGATCTATACTTTCATTGTTCAATACAGTAGCCACTGACCACAAATGGCTGTTGAACATGTGATATGTGGCTAGTCTAAACTGAGATGAGATGTAAAACACACAGCAGATTTCAAAGACTTATTATGAGAGAAAGACTATAAATATCTCTTTGGTAATTTTATATATTGATGACATGTTGGAATAATGTTTTGGATCTTTTTTTTCCCCTTTTTAAAAAAATCTGTAACGTGCTTTATTTTATTTATTTATTTTTTTGGCCACACGGCATGCGGGATCTTAGTTCCCCCACCAGGGATCGAATCCGTGCCCCCTGCAGTGGAAGCGCGGAGCCCTAATCACTGGACTGCCAGGGAATTCCCAAGTGCCTTATTTTTTTATTGAGTTATAGTTGATGTACAATATTATATAAGTTACAGGTGTACACTACAGTGATTCACAATTTTTAAAGGTTATACTCCATTTATAGCTATTATAAAATACTGGCTATATTCCTTGGGTTGTATGATATATCCTTTTAGCTTATTTTATACATAGTAGCTTGCACCTCTTAATCCCCTACCCCTAAATTGCCACTCCCCCTCGCTCTCCCCACTGGTAACCACTAGTTTGTCCTCTATATCTGTGAGTCTGCTTCTTTTTTGTTATATTCAGTAGTTTGTTGTATTTTTTAGATTCCACATGTAAGTGATATCATACAGCAGGGGTCCCCAGCCTTTTTGGCACCAGGGATGGGTTTCGTGGAAGACAATTTTTCCACGGAAGGGGTGTGGAGGGGTGGGAGGGATGGTTCAGGCAGTAATGCAAGCGATGGGGAGCGATGGGGAGCGGTGGGGAGCAATGGGGAGCGGTGGGGAGCTATGGGGAGTGGTGGGGAGCTATGGGGAGTGGTGGGGAGCGATGGGGAGCGGTGGGGAGCTATGGGGAGTGATGGGGAGTGGTGGGGAGCGATGGGGAGCGGTGGGGAGCGATGGGGAGCGGTGGGGAGCTATGGGGAGCGGTGGGGGGCGGTGGGGAGCGGTGGGAGTGGTGGGGAGCGATGGGAGCGGTGGGGAGCGGTGGGGAGTGGTGGGGAGCGATGGGGAGCAGCAGATGAAGCTTCACTCACTTGTCTGCCGCTTACCTCCTGCTGTGCAGCCGGGTTCCTAACAGGATGTGGACTGGTACCAGTCCAAGGACCGGGGGTTGGGGACCCCCATCAGACAGTATTTGTCTTCCTCTGTCTGACTTATTTTGCTAGGCATAATACCCTTGAGGTCCGCTCATGTTGTTGCAAAAGGCAAAATTTCACTCTATTTTATGGCTGAGTAGTATTCCATTGTATATATATACCACATCTTCTTTATCCATTGGTCTGTTGATAGACACTTAGGATATATTGTTAAATAAAAAAAATATTGATAAAATTAATTTCACCTGTTTCTTTTCTCTTTTAATTTGGCTAATAGAAAATTTTAATTACCAACGTGGCTCAAATTACATTTCTATTAGATATGCTGATCTGTACCTTAATATTTATGTGACGTTGGACAGATTTATGTAACATCTCTAAGCCTCAGTTACCTCCATTGTCTATGCCTGGTACTTTAAAAACCCTCAGTAAATGGTGGCTTTTGTGATTACTATTACTAAGAATTCCAGATGCTAAGTGAATTGGTGGTTAAGAGAACATGAGGGGTGCCAAGAAACAAAGGGTCAGAGTAGGAAGTTTGTGGGGAGCAGGAGGAAATGACAGAGGATTCCCAGGGAGGGAAGGAGAGTTCCAACAGCTGAGGAGTTACTGGGGTCTGGTATGCCACTGCAAGCCTTGGACATACACGGGTGTCCCTGAGGGAGATGACCCTTGGCCTAGACCCAGCAACCATCAGGGAGATTCCGAAGTGCCCACAGTTGGGCCTGTGACCTGTCTGTCCTCAGCTTCACCATACAGAATTGCCGCAGGCTTGGCCTCACCTGTACAAACATTACAATGTTACCCTTTGTCAGAAGACCATCTGGGAAGTTCCCTGTTGGCCTAGTGGTTAGGATTCTGGGCTTTCACTACTGTGGCCCAGGTTCAAACCCTGGTTAGGGAACAGAGATCCCACAAGCCGCAAGGCATGGCCAAAAAAAAGAAGAAAATGAAGAAGGAAAAAAGACCATCTGGCTAACACCCTCACAAGGTGAGACATTCAGTAAGGCACCAAACAATACTCTATGAGCAGAAATGGTGCTGTGGTCAGGGAACAAGAGAACAAAAGTCACTGATTCCTTTACAGTCAAGGAAGGCTCTATCCCAGGAGAAGGGGAGTGTCAGTCACTTTGTAAGGAAGAGATGCTACATGGTAGGAGTTGCAACCAAAGAAGCAATTGGGGTGTGATGAAGAGTGTCCTCAGTCCCTGCATGATCAGAAGATTTGGGCATCAGCTCTATGGCTCCCTGGTTGTGCTGTCTTAGGCAAGGTTCCCTCTGGGAGTTTTGGTTTCCTCATCTGCAAAATGGGAATAAGAATGAAAGCTATTTTGCGGGGTTATTATCAGGATTAAATGGTATGGGTATATATTTCTGCTAAAGCACATTACAAATGAAAAAGGAGACTAATAGAACAAATGGAATGAGAAAATAGGGGAAAAGGAATATGAACATCCTGCAAAGCAACCAGGCAAACTCTGTGGTACACTGGCATATATCCCAGTCTCATTTATGGCCCAAAGGGGCAGTTGACTCCTGTACCTCTCAGGGAAAAGGCTAGCGAACAAGAAGAAAGCACGTTCGGGAGGCTCAGTTGGAATTGCTCCCTGAAAGATCATAAAGCTCTCCCCACTGCCTAGGCCTCTTTTGTCTCCAAAACCCTCTTTATAGACTGTTACACCACTGGCCACCCCATCTGTGACACAGTCACCCCCATCTTTCCCAGTGTGCTCTTCCTTTCTTACCGTGACCTTAGAACCCAAAGGTTCTGCCCTTGGCCATCTCTTGACTCCAGCACTCTCTCCTAGAGCAATCGGTTCTCTATGGGGTTGATTTTGCCCTCCAGGGGATATTTGACAATGTCTGGAGATATTTTTGTTTGACACAACTAGTGGCGGAGGTGTGCTACTGGCATCTAGTGGGTAGAGGCCAAAGATGCTAAACTTCCTACAATGCCAAGAACAGCCCCTCCCCCCACCTCACCCATCCCCCCAACGACAAAGAATATGCAGACCAAATGTCAATACGGCCGAGGTTGAGAAACCCCGCTCTCCCTCTGGAAGTGCAATCAATGCCTTTACGGTTTCAACAGCCATTTATGGATGATCCCCAAATCTGTACATCTCTGTCAATTGCCACTGCTTCCCCTCCAATACCCTGGTCAGTCCACAGACACATCCGACAGCCAACCCAAACCCTTTATTTTTTCCCCATGTTCCTCCTCCTGGATAGTACTCCCATTCTATCAGTGTCCCAAGTTAGGAACCGCTAAGCCATCCTACACACACAACGGGACATCACTAAGTCTTGGTCATGTCTCTCAAATCCACCCCCTCCTTTCCATATCAGCTTGTGCTTCCTAGGTAATGCCGGGCATCATCTCTTCTCTGAACAATTCCAGCCACCTCCAAACTGACCTTTCTTTTCCCATCCATTCCTCCTGGGGTTACTTGTTATCTTCCCAAAACACTGACTCGAGTATGCTGCACCTCCAGAGTAGAGCCCAAACTCCTTAGCGTTCCAAGATTGCTGTCAACCTGCTTTTTGAAGCTTATCTCTCATGAGACTCACCTCCCAGCCCCCCAGTCATACTAAATTACCTGCCCTTCCCATAACACATCATCCCCTTTTATACCTTTGCTCGAGTGGACTTGTCTCATGATGAGTGACTATCCTCCTTCATTCATCACTGCCTATGGCAAGTCTATTCATATTTGAGACATTGCTTCCATGAAGTCTTCCAGATTTCCCCACTGAAGTTAAAGTCTTCCTCTTCTGATCGCCATCACACTGTATCTTTTACAGAGCCTATAATATGCTTTGCCATTAACTACGTACACATTTGACTCCTCTGAGACTCTAAGCTCTGTGAAGGCAGGGGCTGTGTTTTTACTTTGGTACCCCTCGTAGAAAATAACATATATCCTGCACGTAGTAGGCAGTCACTAAATGTTTAGGGTATTGAATTGAGAGATCTGAAAGAGGGCTTCTTTCTCCACAGTGCAGACAGAAAGAGAATTTTTATTACAAAAGAACCATGAAGAAATTCCTTTTGTAAATTTTGGACTATTTTATGGATAAATGAATGTCTGATGCCATGAGTCTCTGTATGTTGGTCCTGAAAGGATAAACTGGAAATCAACGCCTTGAACAAAAACAAGTTAAAATCATGGGATGGAAAGGTGAAGAGTTAGCACAGCTCATTTACTAGCTGTAGTTCTCTTACACAGAATGCTCTCAGTTCACCCAAGACTATTGAGAACTTTTGATTTCCCTCTCTCCTCTCAAAATTTTACTCATCCTTTAAGGCCCAAGTTTTCAAAAAAACTTTCCTGATTTCTCCAGTCATAATTCATTTCTTCCTCAGTGCTCCCATAGCACTTTGAACCTCACTTAATACTTATGACTTCCTACATTCTATTATTATTTTATTATTTCTATATATTTTTATTATTATACTTCTATAGGACAGAGGCCACAACTTAATCATTTCTGTTTCCTCCTCTGTAACTTGTCCAGTTCTCGGCACGTAACAGACCATCAACACTGAACTTAATGGAACCATCTAATTTTCAGTGATCCTGGAAGATCTAGCCCAAACTTCCCAACCCACACTGTATTCATTTGGACTGGGATTTGACAGTGGATTGAGAGATCCATCCCCTAAATAGATCTATGGCTTCCAAAGTGACTTGGCCCCCCTTGCCTATTAGGATGACCTAGAAGTGGGCCAGACCCTCAACAGCAGGAACACTTGTTAGCCCAGTAATTCCACCTGCCAAACACAACTGTGCCCAATAACCTCTACTTTTCCATCTACCCCTGCCGCCTTTTCCCTTTAGGATAGTGGTTGTCAGCACATGGTCCATGAACCCCTGGAGTCCTTAGGGACAAAACTACTATAATAATACTGAGATGTTATTTGCCTTTTTAACTGTGTTGACATTTGCACTGATGATGCAAAAAGCAATGGTGGCAAAACTGCTGGCAACTTAGCAGGAGTGAGACAGTGGCACCGAATTGTAGTAGTCATTGCATTCCTTCCTGCCATGCGTTTGCAATTTTAAAAAAATGCCAGTGTGCAGCCTAAAAAAAAAGTAAAAATAGAAAATAACATGCCAGTGTCAATTAAGAACATCCTTAATGAAGAAGTACAAATTAATAATTTTATAAACTCTTGACACTGGAATACAGATCTTTTTACTATTTTGTGTGAAGAAATGGGAAATATACATACAATGCTTCTGCATACCCAAATACGATGTTTCATAGTTTCTAAGAAAAAGCACTTGCGCAATTAAACTGTGAGCTCAAATCACCTTTGTTTGTTTTCAAATTAATAGACTTTATTTTTTTGAGTAGTACGGACAGTTCCCATACACCCCTCATGCTCTCCCTGTTTCTCCTATTACTAACATCTTGTATTAGTGCAGTATATTTGTTACAACTGATAAGCTAATAGTGATATTATAACTATTAACTATATAGTTATATTAATAACCATATATTATAACTATAATCATGGTTCACATTAGGGTTCATTCTTTATATTATACATTCTATGGGTTTTGACAAATATATAATGACATGAACTCACCACGACACCATTAGAGTATCATACAGAACGGTTTCACCCTTCTAAAAATCCTCTGCGCTACATTCTTCTCTCCCTTCCTCCCCCCCAATGCCTGGCAACCACCAATCTTTTTGCTACCTCCATAGTTTTGCCTTTTCCAGGTTATCACACGGTATGTAGCCATTTCAGATTGGTTTCTTTCAGTTAGCAATATGCACTTAAACTTCCTTCATGTCTTTTTGTGGCTTAATAGCTCATTTCATTTTATCACTGAATATTCCATCATATGGATGTGCTAGTTTATTTTACCCATTCACCTATTGAAGGACATTTTGGTTGCTTTCAAGTTTGGGCAATTATAAATAATGCTGCTGTACATTCACGTGCAGGTTTTGTGTGGGCATCAGTTTTCAACTCATTTGGGTAAATAACCAAGGAGCACAATTGCTGGATCATATGGTAAGAGTATGTGGAGTCTTGTAAGAAAATGCCAAAACTGTCTTCCAATGTGGCTGTACCATTTTGCAGTCCCACGAGTAATGGAAGCAGAGTTCCTGTTGCTCCACATTAAGAGGCTCTGCATTTAAAAGAGCTGTGTAACTCAGTGAAGCAATGTTTTCCAAATGACCATGCATATTTTACAAAATCATGCGTGAGTAAAAGGTCCATTCAAAGCGCAAGATATACCAATGATTTTAATGTAATAGAGCATAAAGTTCATTATATGATTTTCAATTTCACATCTGACTAACCTTTAAAAAACGACTACTTGTAAGTTTGGGTGTGGTACAAAAGAATATCCAGTTATCTAAACAGGCTATTAAAACGCTTCTCTTGGGCTTCCCTGGTGGCGCAGTGGTTGAGAGTCCGACTGCTGATGCAGAGGACGCGGGTTCGTGCCCCGGTCCGAGAAGATCCCACATGCCGCGGAGCGGCTGGGCCCGTGAGCCATGGCTGCTGAGCCTGCGCGTCCGGAGCCTGTGCTCCGCAGCGGGAGAGGCCACAGCAGTGAGAGGCCCGCGTACCGCAAAAAAATAATAATAATAATAATAATAAAATGCTTCTCTTTTCTCCAACTAAGTATCGGTAAGGCCAGGTTTCCTTCACATACTTCAATCAACACCATTTCACAACAGATGGAATGCAGAAGCAGATACGAGAATCCAGCTTTCTTCAATGAAGCCAAACATCAGAGAGATTTGCATGTAAAAGAATACTATTCTCATGTATTTTCTTGGTATGGAAAATATACGTTTTCTTAAAAAGGTTATTTATATAAACATGTAATAGGTTTATTACTTTTTTCTTTTAGTGAATCAATACATATTTTAAACATTTCTCAGTGTAAATTTCCAATACGGTAAATATGGGAAAATATAACCCATTATAAACAAAAGCTCTTTAGGGTTCTCCATAACGTGTGTATCAGTGTAGAGGGGTTCTGAGACTAAAAAATGTGAGAACCCCTGGTCTAAGATGCCTTCCTCTGATCCTGCTGGTCAATCCCAGTGCAGAGAATTAGATGTTACAACGCTGTTCAAGACTCACCTCTCTTAAGACTTTCCTTGATCGACCACTCTATTCATTGCCCCTACTCTGCATACCCTCTGCAGCTATGTTGTTCCGGTTTCCCCTGCTGCTTTCAAACCTCTGGTTCATGGCAGGTACTGGAAGAGAGAATAAAGAAACTTGCACACAGTCTCTAGACCGGGGCAGCCCTTCCAGGTGCGTCCTAATTCGGCGGGAACCTCTCTGGGAAGAGTCTGACATTTGCGCCCTCGCTGCTCACGTCTGGAGAGGCCTAATGGGTGCGGGGAGTGACCCAGGGAAGCTGCGGGATCTCGGAGTCTTCTTAGGTTGAAAGCGCGGAGAGGGATCGGGAGGCCTCAGGGAAGAGACTGGTCATTCGGTGGAAGAGAAGCAGGCCCGGTGACATCTTCCCTCCTCCTGGGTCACCGGGGAGGCCGGGGCCTGACCACGCCCCTTCGCGGCCGCTTCGCCCCGCCCCAAGGCTCCTCGCTCCGCCCTCTGCCGCCAAGCAGGGAGCCCGGCGCGGCCGACTAGGGCTCTTCACGACAGTCCCGGCACTTTCCGGCCGGCCTCGGGGGTGCTGCTGTGTAGGGGAGGCGGGACTTAGGGGAGTTTTCCCTCGCGACGCCACCTACTCGGACGCTGTCTCTGTGGCCGACCTACCTCCCCGAGGCCATGGCGGTGTCTGCTCGGTCTGCGCTGTCCCCGCCCGACTCAGGTAGGGTCAGAGCCCCGCCTTGTGGCGGATAGAGAGGGGCGCGGGTTTCAGAAGGGTGGGGGCCGGAGGGCTTCCCTGTGGGACCTGGGGAAGGGAGCCTCCGATGGGAAGGAGCCGTAGAGAGAGATTGCAGTCTTCGGCTTCGGGGTAGTGATGACATTCAGGACGCTTTGCGGCTAGAGGGCTGCTGTCTGAGAAAGGTTCTGGGGCATTGGGGGATCCTGGAGGAGGGGCTGCACTGCAGGGATGTTTCGGGTAGTCAGAGATCAGTGGAAGAATCCAGGTAGGCAGAAGACCTGGGCCTGTGATTTCTGTGATTTGAGGAGGAGCCTATGTTAAAGCATCTCCATTCCCATACGCGCACCCACAACTTTCTCCATTTATCGGTTGCAGATAAAGTACAGAAAGATAAGGCTGGACAGACCTCAGGGCGCCGTCAGGGCAGCCGAATGGGGAAGCTCTTGGGTTTTGAGTGGACAGATGTGTCCAGCTGGGGAAAGCTGGTGACCCTGCTGAATAGACCAACAGATCCTGCAAGCCTGGCAGTCTTCCGTTTTCTCTTTGGTAAGTCCAGTTTCTGGGAGGGGCCAGCGTGGTTGGGGATGGGAAAATGACAATCGTCCCTTGTCCATTTCTTGGATACTTACTTGCTTAGTGGACTTACCTTCCTTTTCCTAAGAGCTGAAGTTACTGATATCCTGGAAGAGGTCGTTGTGACCCAGTTTTGTCTCCGATTAGGGTTTGGAGACCAGAAATGCTTTGGTCTGAGGCTATAGGAAATATAGAGGTAGAGGAACAGGAACCCATTTTATTTGTGGCATGAAGTTGCCCAGTAAGTATGCTAAGGACTAGACTTTAGAGAAATGGCAGAGGTGACAGGGCAGACATTTAGGCCGTGACTCCCTAATCCAGATCTTTCTAACTCATAGGCCACAGCGTGTATGTTTGGAATGGGTTACAGATATGCTGAGATATTACTCCCTGTGCTTCTCAACGGGGAGTGAGTTTGCTCTCCAGGGGACATTTGGCAATGTCTGTAGACATTTGTATTTGTCACATCTTGGGGGTGGGAGGGAAGGGGAATAGGTGGTTACTGGCATCTACACAGAAGCCAGGGATGCTGCTGCATGACCTATGAACCACACGGTAGCCCTCCCAGCAAATAATTAACCAGGCCAAACTGAATAGTCCTGGGGTTGAGAAATCTTGCCTTAACTGGAGATGCCTTCCTGGCCTGAGTACCCCTTCTCTTTGCCCCAGTGTGCTGGCCAGACACTGCTCTGCCAGGTGTGCCAGAAAGTAAAAGAGGTTGAGGAGCACCACCCCAGAGCACTTTCTCTAGCCAGTGGGGCAGACCTTTACAAATATTACTATCAAATCTGAACAGCTTTGATCGCATTTTGTACACTTCTTTCATTTAATCTTCTCTGAAACCCTGCAAAATATTATGAGCCCCCTTTCACAAATGGGGAATTGGCTCGGTGAGGTGCAGTGGCTGTCTGAGATCACACAACTGGCATAATGCCTAGCACAGAGTAGGCGCTCTGTGGTTATTGTTGAATGAATTCTTTCCGGGGTTTGGAAAGAAGTCTGACCCTGGAGCTGCGCGTGCTCGACTGTATTCCAGCGTGTTCCAGGGCTCGCTTTGCTAAGGCCTAACGGCCCCCTCCCCCTCTGCCTTCTCAGGGCTGATGATGCTGCTGGACATTCCCCAGGAGCGGGGGCTCAGCTCCCTGGACCGAAGATACCTGGATGGGCTGGAGGTGTGCCGCTTCCCGTTGCTGGACGCCCTGCAGCCACTGCCACTTGACTGGATGTATCTGGTCTACACCATCATGTTTCTGGGTGAGGGAAACTGAGGAGAGATGGGAGTATTGACTGGCCTACCCAAAACCCAGAAATACAAAGCATGCTGGTGAATGACCAAGGTCTTGGGTTTCTTATTTCACTTCCTCCGTGACTTATAATTTCATCCTGCTGACCTGTGTGTCATCTGAGCTGTGACCCCGTAACTCTGTTTAAAATGTTGAAATAACATTTAATTGAAATTTATTTTCACTTGGTTATAAAATGTCTGATGACCTTTCCTAATCCTACCCACAGCCTGTCCCAGGGGAGCTGGGCCTGTAGTGCCCCTCTGACCTCTTAATCCTCTCCCCCACAAATCCCAGGGGCACTGGGCATGATGCTGGGCCTGCGCTACCGGATAAGCTGTGTGTTATTCCTGCTGCCATATTGGTATGTGTTTCTTCTGGACAAGACATCGTGGAACAACCACTCCTATCTGTATGGTTTGTTGGCCTTTCAGCTGACGTTCATGGATGCAAACCGCTACTGGTATGAGTCTGGGGAAAAGAGGCAGGGGTTGGCTGCGTCAGGATGGTTACCAGAGATAGGGGCCCGGTGAGGTCCTAGAATTTGTCCCAGCAAACGTATTTTCAGACATGCGTTGCAGAGTGTGGTTACAGGGTGACACTTTGATTTGGATGGATTTGGGAGAGGGAAGGGTCCGTGAGGTTGGGGCTCTTGGGGTGACAAAAAAGCAAAATGGCTCCATTCCCACCCCTTCACTCTTTCCCTATCTCCCCAGGTGCCTTGATCTATCCACTTCCTGTAATCCTCTTAGAGAGAAGAAGAGAAGACTAAAGCCAGACATAGCTGTTTTCAGATACTACAAGGGTGGTCATGTGGAAGAGGGAGCAGACTTTCTCTGTGTGAGCCCAGAGGGGCAGAGTTAGAGCCAAGAGTAGAAGTTGCTGTGGGGCAGAGTCATGTCAGAAGGAGAGGGCCCACCAGGGCTGCTGAGCAGTGCTGTCCCGGGAGGAGGTAACCCTCCTCGACCTCTGGCTCAGGTGACCATCTCTCAGGGGAGATGGAGAAGGGATTTGGAGGCAGGGTGGCAGGGCAGATGACCTTTACGGGTTCTCCCATTATTAAGTGAAAAGCGAGTATGAGCTGTCAGTAACATGAGTATAGGGGGAAAAAAATCTCAAACATTGGATTTGTTGGTGATTTATCAGTCATTAATTAAACTTCTTTCATCAACACACACATGCAGATACTCCTTTTGTAAACCTTTACATTCATTCAGAGTGGCCAGCTGTCATCACGAAGAGGCACTTTTGACAGAATACTCCTGAAAAGTCTCATTTTTATGACTTTTACCCAGTTTGAAAAAATATCCATCACTTACTGAAGGCTTTCCACGTGCCAGGCACTATGCTAAACACTTTTAATTTTTCCACATTATAACCCCGTGAGGTCCATAGTGCTGTTCCCATTTTATAGATGAAGAAACTAAGGCTTAGAGAAGTAAAGGACTTGTCTAGGGTCACATAGCATGTAAGAGGCGTAAGTGGGACTCCAGGTCTCCTTAACTACAGGCTCCCATGCTCTTGACCACAAGTGTAAGCTGCCCCTTTCCTGGCTTCTCTGCTCATTCTGTGTCTTCTTGAAAACGTACTTTGCTTCTGCCTCCCCAGAATACATCTAATCTTAGGAGCCTGGTTTTATCAGTTCTTAGCCTAGGTGAGCTGTTAGCAGGTACTCTCTGGCACTAGATCCTAGCATCCAGGTCTATGAAGTGTCAGTTTGTCTTAGAAATTGAAACTTGTTTTTAAATGCACTATATATATTTTCATACACCATTAGCTTTTCAAACGTTGCCTCAAATTCGTTCTTTTTCATATTCAGCCATATTCTAGCATTTTAGTCTTGTTCCCAATCTATTTCTTTAGGAGAAACTAATTTGCTAACTAAACGAATGGTAAACACTGAACTTTCCGTTGTTATAACTCACTAGTAATATTTCTGTTGTGACTTAAAATAGTCGTTGTTGCAGTATGCTCATATAATTCTAAAGGACCTCAGAATAGCCCAGAGGACCAGAGAAGGTGTGGGAGACATCCTGGGATAGAGAGAGCATTACACTTAAAAAGCATTTCTACCAGTCCCAAGGTAGAAATGGGACTGGACTAAAAAGCTGTCCTCTATCCTTCTCCCCCTCACTGCAGGTCTGTGGACGGCCTGCTGAATGCCCGGAAGCGGAACGCCCACGTGCCCCTTTGGAACTATGCTGTGCTGCGTGGCCAGGTACAGGATTTCAGGAGAGGGGGAGGTGTTCTCAGCAGCCATTGTCAGCACGGCTGTTCCACTGCCAGACTAGGCTCTGCTCTGCCTCCCTGGATCTTCTCTTTTCCCCCTCTTGCTGGAAAGCTGGGCTGGCCTTCCCCTTGTTTCCAACCCCCTAATCTCTGGGGTCTTTCACCTTGTCATAGAAAGAGTCGAGCTTTGTTCCCACTGGATTAGAATCCTCATGAGGAAAGAGTAACATTATGACTTTCCTTGGTGCCTAGTACTGTGCCTGGCATCTGTAGGATGTCGGGTGAGTGAATATATGAGATGAGTGAATAGAAGAATGGATCTAGTCTCCCTTGGGCCGTGAACTGGCATCAGAACTGATTTGTGACTGTCTGTAGGGGACAAGGTTCTGACTTTGTTTGAACATTCGTTTTGTGTTTGCAGATCTTCATTGTGTACTTCATTGCGGGCGTGAAAAAGCTGGACGCAGACTGGGTGGAAGGCTACTCCATGGAATACCTGTCCCGGCACTGGCTCTTCAGTCCCTTCAAGTGAGCGGCAGGGCAAGAGGCCTCATGTGGCCCAGGTGCAGAGTGGGGGGCTTGACTCCCTCAGGTCTGCAGTCACGGCTGCTCTTCCCACTTTGCCTGAATTTGCACGTGTTTCC